AAATGAGGCAAAAAAAGTTGGGAAAGATAAAGAAAAAGCTAGTAAGGGGGAGGGTGGGTAGTGGTGAAACCCTACTCTCATCAGGAATGGGTTAAAGAAGGAACACCATATGTACCTAGAATGGCATAAAAATCTTCTAAATTCAGAAAGAAAGGAGAGTAAGAGGATAAGGTGTGGGAGAGGATAAGGGAGGGATTCTAGGAGGGGTGGGTAGGTATAAGAATAGGATTGCAAGGCAGTGGATAGAAGTAAAGGAGAGAAGAGAGAAGGGATAGGAATAGGGGGAGAAGTTCAGTGAGGGCAAATAGGAAGGAGGGAAATAAATAACAAGTGACTATAGTTTTGAATGCGCATGGGATGAATTTATCTATAGGGTGGAAACTGATAGTATATTTAAAAATCAAATTTAACAATATGTTCTTTCAGGGAATGCTATAAAAGTGAGAGATACACACAAAAAAAATAAAAAGGTCAGGAGTAGAATGTATTATGTAAAAAACAGGGGTAGTAATCACTATCTCAGATAAAGTTGTGTGGGGTACAGAGACCCTTATCAATGAATCGGAGACTCAGAGATATTAACAAAAAGAAAATTCCATTTATTAGCTTTCTCGAGAAAGAACATCAAAAAATTGGCACTGACCAAAGAGAGCAGAGATGTGTTCAGATCAACAGGTTATATAGGTCCTAGAGCAATCCCCTTTCCCAGCCCCCCTCCTCAGGGCTCATTAATGCAAGCTCTGAGGGTACAATCTATTCGAGGCAATCTACCCCAGCAGCAAAGAACAAGGACACTTTTTACAACTTGCCTGGAGACAGGAGGTTTTCTTTTTCTTTTTAGAGTAAGTAGTTTTAGAGAGGGAGGAGGAGGTCTGATAAAGTTGAAAAGCATGTTTCTTTACAAGGTCACCAGCTGCAAGTGTTTCAACAGAACAAGGAGCTTATTTGGAAGAACAAAGGGTCAGAAACTTCAAAGAGACAATGGGAAGAAAGATTTAAAGGAGACAGATTCAATACTGTCAGACCTTAAACCATATTAAAAGGTGAGAGCATCTTTGAGACAAGTTCTCAGATGGGGTTGGGATATTGCTGTGGTGTAGGAAATGATGAGCTGGTTGAATCAGAACAGCATGAAAAGATGTGGATATATGAAGGAGGATGCTGTCCACCTTCAGAGAAACAGCTGACAGGGGGAGATAGCATGGTACGGACTAACGTATGTGTGTATGAGTATATATGTGTATTATGTGTGTATGATTATAAATATCTATGTATAACTAAGTTTGTTTATAGCTGTACGTGTGTACATGCATACATATGTATGTGTATATGTGAATATATACATACATGTATGTAAGTTATAAGTTATATGTAAGTTTATGTTATATATTTATATAAGTTTTATATATTTTATATATTTATATAAATTTTATATATTTATATTTAAGTGTGTTTTTGTGTCTGTGTGTACACATATGCATATGTATGTGTGAATATACACGTGTACATACACATATGTGTATATGTGTGTATGAATGTGCGTGTGTGTATATATATATATATATATCCATGCTTAATTGCAGCCTTCTTTGAGTGGGAAATAGAGAGGAGGTGAGATAAAAGAAGTGAACAGCAAACAACAAAGAAAACCTACAAGGAAACAAAATAAAAATGGACAGCTTTGAATACAATGAGCAGTATTTACTATACAGGTTTTCTTGAAATGGAAATTTATTGTATTATATTTAATCCTCTCCTATGTTCTGCTGCGTACAAGGCAACGCTCTTTCTTTTCTTTTATATTGTACTTGAGTTCAAAATTTTTAAAAACTATATTAACAAAAAAAGAATGACAGAGACAAGAATGGAATCTTTATTGGAAGCCAATGGGTACCTCTCCAGATAGGGGAATTGCTGGATGAACTTTGAAGAAGAAGCTGTCCCTCTATATCCAGTCACTGGTCCTCTCTTCAGCATATGGCTGGGAGAGGAGATTGTGAGCCAATGTCTGTATTAAACTGGGGAGCAGCATCCAGGGGTGCCAGCCCTGCCTGTTTCCCATAAACCATTAAAATCCCTTACCCTTAACGAACTCCTTGATGTTCTATCATTGGGTCAACCCCACAGTAGGAGGATGGAAAATGGAGAGATTTATCAATGGAATGAGTTTTACTGATTAGCATGCCTGGCAGGTTGATGATGTAAGGTTTGAATGTAAGACCCCAAACATTTTCCTTCTATTTAGACTACAATTCACCTAATTTACTTCTGTCCCCCAAGAAAAGAGATACAGCAGCTCCTAGTAGATGAAAAAGGCCTAGCCCCCCCTCAGACCAGAAATTGTCTGAGCCTGTAGCTTGGAGGGAAGCACCTACTCCCCAGAGCTCAGGGGCTGAGCAGCCTGGGGAGGCTTTTGTTCCAGGCAGCAGCACTGTGGGAGATGGACATCATTATGTTTCTAAGAGTAGTAATTGGCAGCAAACTCTGCCTGCACAGGACTGAGAGTGAAAGTGAAATCTGCCCCACACCCAGTGCCACTGAACTGGGCCAGGATCCCCCCAAAATACAAGAAGTTTCATAGATCAGGAGTTTGGGTGAGTGTCCTGGTTCCTGCTGGTACCAGGCTATCTACTCACCAATGCTGGAACTGGTCCAGCCACTGATGGTCACTCTCTCTCCTGGAGCCACAGACAGGGAGGCTGGACTGGGTCTGGATACATTATCTGCAGAGGATTCTGGATGTGGGAAAAATGACCAAAAAGTCAACGAAATGAATTTCTGTGAGGAATCACATAGAGGTACAGAGAATGCAAGAAAAAATTTTTTCCACCGAGTATAGGTGTTGTGGCTGTGTCTGAGATGACAATCCCAGAGGATATATGGGACATTCATACACACACAACCTCTCTCAGACATATTTCTAGGCAAGGAAGCTTCTCGGTTCTCTAAATCAGTATCAGCCGTTGGGGCATCGTTGGGGTGGTGGGACCAGGGTGTGGATGGTCAAAGGATGAAAAACAGTTTGGCTGCTAGAGCCTCAGCCCTCTACCCCCATGTCAGCCTCTTGCTGGGATGGTACCATTAGAGTGAAGATTCCTACTTTCCAATACTTTTTTCTTCCTTCACTCTTCTTCATTTATTCATCCTTATTAGGTAATTTAGAAAAGAGCTTAATTTTACTGGACCAATAGATAACAGGGCAGTACCCCCCTATATCTTGCCTCAGAAAGTATCTATGTTTCAAATGGTATATAGGTTCAAGCCCTGAGGGTCTCTGGTCCTTTAACTGGAGCAGAGATCTGACCATTGAACTCCCCTACACAGTGCCAGCAAATGGAAGGTGTTTAATAACTGTTTACTGACAGACTGACTGAATAAACTCCAATGGTTTCTTTTTGTCTTTAGGAGAAAATACAAACCACTTTGTCATTTAAAGCCTTCACCATCTAGTTCAGCATCCCTTTCCAGATTAATTTCACAACACACTCCTTTATTTCTTCTACAATCCAAACTAAAGAGCTAACTTGCTTTCCATCTCAAATGATATTTCATTTCCTGTCTCCAGGCCTTTGCCCAGGCTGTGCCTCACTCCTGAAATGTACTCTTCACATGTCTGACCCTGACAGTCCTTAGCATTCTTCAAAGGTGAGCTCAAGCAACTCCTCTTAGAGGATATTGTATTTCCTGGGCCACTATGTCTCACTTTCCATATCAACTGAAAGTACCTGTGCACAGACTACTCTGCCTACTCTAGGACCTTCATTTCATCTAAGAAAATTCTTTCCCATAAGAAAATTCATGTAATGGAATTCAATGTAAACAACTGGTTATACTTTATACAAACCCACTCCTAGGACTAAGTGCATGAGAATTAAGGAAAGAGTCTAGGAACATTGTGAAGATGGGGACCCAAGTCCCCATTGAGCTGAATCTAGAAGCTGAGCCAATCCCCTCTTCTTTTCAGTGGCAAAGGCTGGCCAGAAAGCCCTGGAGTATTGGTGAAAACATTCCTGTGTTCTTGGTCGTAAAGGCAATGGAGAGGCCTGGGGCCTTTCTCCCACCAACAGATCCCTTGGGGCAGTGGGTAGAGGCAGAGACATCTAGCAGAGATGGCCAGTGAATGGGCGTGCCTCAGCCACCTACTCTCCTGGCAACTCCCCCTATGGCTCCTGGGAGGTACACTCCAACCCACCCAGGTGCAGACATTAGCCTGAGTCAGCCAATAAGGCCACTGTCCTCCAGATACAGGAAATGATGAGTTTCTAACTTGGGGGTGGCTGGGTGAGTCTGGCATTTAACCAGGTCCAGGTCATAAGGAACCCAGCCCTGTGAGACCAGTGGGGCAAGGGCAGGAGAAAAAGGAATTTAGTCTAAATCAGGGCAGCCAGGTGGCACAGTGGATGGAGCACTGGGCCTGGATTCCAAAAGCCTCATGTTCCTGAGCTCAAATCTTAGGAGCTATGTGATTTTTGGCAAATCACATAATCCTATTTGCCTCAGTTTCCTCATCTGTGAAATGAACTAGAGAAGGAAATGGCAAACCACTCTAGGACCTTGGCCAAGAAAATCCCAAATGAGGTCACAAAGAGTCAGACATGACTGAACATTGGCAACCAACAAGTCTTTATCCTTTGCTAGAGAGAACTAGAGTAAATCCTCCTCAATATGAGTTTGGCCTCCCAACAAGAGAAATACTTTATGTCGAGGCAAAGTTATCAAATGGACTTCAGTGTCAGCATTTCCCGTTTGGATTTTCCTCTTTGTTTCCCAGAGGACTGGCCTACTTCCACTCTGCCTGGGTTGTGGGTCAGGGTTTGTGATTGACAAGGCTTTGTTAGAAAGGAGGGGACCTGTGGGACCAGAAAGGGGAAGCCCTGGGAGATGTGAACCTGCCCAGAGAGCAGGGGCTGCTCTGCCCTGGGGACCAGAAAGGAGGCAGCTGCTACTCTGAGCTGAATCCCCTGAACAGCCTGGGGAGGTTTTTGTTCGGGGCTGAAGCACTATGGGAAAGGGAAACTCTTAGACTGCTGACAGTAATAATCTCCAGCATCCACAGGCTCCAGGCTGCTGATGGTGAGAGTGAAATCTGTCCCAGACCCACTGCCACTGAACCGGGCAGGCACTCTAGAAGCCAGCCTGTTAGCCCAGTAGATGAGGAGCTTCAGGACTTGGCCAGGCTTCTTCTGGTACCAATGTAAGTGGTGATAACCATAACTATCTGTTAGACTCCCACTGGCCTTGGAGCTGATGGTGACACTCTCTCTTGGAGATCTGGACAAGGAGGCTGGAGACTGAGTCAGCACAATGGGAATCTAGGAAACCAACAAAATTCGAGGAAGACAGAAGTGTGTGAATGTAGAAATTGAAGACTTTGAATGAGACAATTTTGTGGAGACCACAGATATGTCAAATGTCTGACAAGTCATTATATTTGCTGTCCACTTGAAATAAAAACCATCTCTCCCTCGGACCTCATAATGTCTGTAACCTTGGGTCTGGTTATATGAGTTATCCCATTTCTGCCTCTGTTGTTACTAAGCTTGCTCTCTTACTTGATCGAGGGGTCATAAAGCCTGAAAACCTGTGATTTTCTAAACCCTGTCACTGCTCTGCTGTACCTTACCTTGAGCCCAGAACACCAGTAGCCAGAGGAGCTGCCATGGGGAGACCATCCTGGCCTTTAGACACCTGCAGAGAGAGCACTCAGAGCCCTGAGAGGGCAGGAAAGGAAGAGGAAGCTTTTATATCCTGGCAGGACTCACTACAGGTCCCTTGGGTCTCCATATGCAAAAGAACCCCAAGTCTGTTATGAGCCTCACCTCAGGGACCCTGTAAACCACACTGAGTCACACTGACTGGGGCTGACTCTGGCAGAGGAGTCTCACTCTTTTCTGTCCTCAAATGTGTGACCTCAAGAGCAAAAACAAAATCATGTTTAGTGTCTGATATAGAAATTGTTGCAGCTGGTTGCGGATAAATGGAGGGAGGCTTCTCTCTCTGTGCCCGGACTAGATTCCCCGTAGCCACGAGAGAGCTCAAGACCTAGGGAGGTGGCAGAGAAGACAGGAGCTCAGAGCTTGTAGGATTTGGAGGTGCCTCACCTTCTTCTGCTCCTGTACCTGTCCCACTAGTTTCTGGAGAAGGTGAGAATTCAAGGAGGCAATGAGGAGGGTCTGGCTGAGACTGAGCAGATCCATGAGAAAGACCTAGGAAAATGTCATTCCTAGGTGAATGGGTCCTGTCATTCACTAGATGAGGTTGCTGTGGTTGTCCTGAGCACTGGGGAGGCAAAGATTATGTCCACCCTGGTCTCCATTGCCCCATTCCAGACATATCTCGTAAGGGAGAAAATATAGGCCTACAGGTATGTTTCATTCCATGCCTGTCTGTGCCTTTACTTGGAAGGTGAATGTGGGTAAATCTGTGTGCCCAAAGAGAGACCATAAAGGTGAGGGTGACTGGCTTAGAGGCAGAGAGAGAGTGGCAGGAGGCTCAGTCTTTCATTTCTGGCTAATCATTCTTCCTCTGGAAAATGGCCATGGCCCCATATTTGTTCTCACTGTCACCAGTCTCTCCTTTTTCCAATGGATCAGTCAAGATTAAATGAACGAATAAATGTATGAATAAGACAGTAAGAGACTGGAGTGTTAGATTTGAGTTACCGGGCTAGAGGAAGGTTCAGTGCCCTGACAAGAACCAAGGAATGGCAAGTCATTGAGGAAGGGTCTGATTCACCTTAACCCTTTAGCTCTCACACAACTAATAGGAAAACCAATTCTAGAAGACAAGTGGTTGTAGGCTATGACAGGGTTGAATGAAAAGGGGAAAGGAAAGGGAATAAGCACCTATCATGTGGTAGGCTCTATGGTAAGTGCTTTACACATATTGCCTTCTAAAACCCTCACAACACCCCTGTGAGGTAGGTGCCACTATTATCCTCATTTTACATTTGAGGAAAATGAGGCAAACAGAGGATGAATGACACGACCAGGCTCACACTGAAGCACAGTAGGGCTCTCCAACATGAACTGAGCTCACAATAAGAGGATTCTTCTGATGTGACATTAAAGGTTTTAAAGGAACTTGATGCCTCAGCAAATCCCTGCCATGGTATTTCCCAGGGGGCTATACGATCTCCAGCTTGTGGTTTGTAAATATGAGGAGGAGAATGAGGTACGGGGCAGGGGAAAGGGAAGCCCTGGGAGATGTGAGCCTGCTCAGAGAGGAGGGGCTGCTCCGCCCTGGGGACCAAAAAGGAGGCAGCTGCTGCTCTGAGCTGAATCCCTTGAACAGCCCGGGGAGGTTTTTGTTCAGGGCTGAAGCACTGTGGGAAAGGGAAGCTCTTAGACTGCTGACAGTAATAATCTCCAGCATCCTCAGGCTCCAGGCTGCTGATGGTGAGAGTGAAATCTGTCCCAGACCCACTGCCACTGAACCGGGCAGGCACTCCAGATGCCAGGTTGGTAACAGAGTAGATGAGGAGCCTGGGGCCTTGGCCAGGTTTCTGCTGATACCAGTTTAAGTGTTGAGCTGTAAAAAAAGTTATCCTATGGGAAAGGCTCTCACTGGCCTTGCAGCTGATGGTGACTCTCTCTCCTGGAGATGTCTACAAGGAGGCTGGAGACTGGGTCAGCACAATGGCCCCATTGGAATCTAGGAAGAACCAAGAATTAGATCAAGACAGAAATGAATAAATGACCATGTTAAAAGGTAAGAAAAAGACAATTTTGTGAAGAACAATGAATTCTCAAATCTCTGACAATCAATTTTATTTGTTATGAAAGTCTGACAGGAACCATGTTTTCCCCCACACCTCACAGCTGTTTTTTGTTTTTATTTTTTATTGGATGGCCTGTTCATGCCTGTCAACCCATCTGCCCTTGCTTCACTTAAGCTTCCTCAATCAGTGGATCAAGGGAATCATAAGCTTTGTTTTGTTGTGTTTTGCAGATAAAACCTATACTCTTTAAGCTTTGTCTCTGATCTGCTGTGTCTTACCCTGAGCCCAGACCACTAATAGCCAGAGGAGCTGATAGGGGGAGATCATCCTGGCCCTTGGAGATCTGTAAACAGAATAGCTCTAAGAGAGGCAGAAAGAAGGGGCTTTTATATCTGAAGCAGAACCTGGGAGAGCTCCCTTGGGTCTCATATGCAAAAGAGCCCCAGGTCTGGTGAGAGCCTCATCTCAGGCCCCTGTCAGTCAGACTAGGTCACACCACCTGAGATTGATCCTGGGGACATGGCTTCCGCTTTTATGTCCCCAAATCAAGGACCTCAAGATCATAGAGAAGTTCATGCTTAGTTTCTGTCTTAGTGAATGGTTGCAGGTCGTTGTGGATAAATGAGGGAAGGTTTCTGTCTGTGCCCCGGGACTAGATTCCTGCAAGAAAGAGAGAGCTGTAAGCCTTGGGGAAGTGGCAGAGATGGCAGGAGCTCAGCGTCCCTCACCTGACTCTGCTCATGCACCTGTCCCACTGCCTCCCCCTCCTGGAGAAGGTATGAAGTCAAGGAGGCAGTGAGCAGGGTCTAGACAAGGCTGGACAGCCCTTTAGCCAGGGTCCCTGAGCAAAAACCTGGGTGAATGGATCCAGTCAGTCCTTAGGTATCCTGAGCATTGGGGAGGCAAACACTGTGCCTGGTACCCATATTCTCATCCCAGACAAACATGAAAAGTCAGAAACTAGAGGCCTGTAGCTATGATCACTACCAAACCTGGCCTGTTGTCAGAACATGGATCTGGGTCAATCTGTGGGCCCAATCTAAGGCTGTGAAGGGGAGGATGATTGGCTCAGAGACAGAGACTAGGAAGCTGGAGCATGAGTCATTCAGTTCTGGCCAATCACTTCTCTCTTAGGGAATGGCCATAGTCTTCTTATTCGAATCTCTGCCTCTGGTCTCTCCTCTCTCCAATCAATCAACAATGAAAGAATAAATGACAAAGCAATTATTAAATTAATTGCAAAACAGAATGTTAAGTCCTGCATTTGCAAGCTAAAAAGTGGATCAGGGTCTGTTCTCAAGGTGCTAATATTTTCATGGCAGATAAAATATAATACTAATAATAGCAATATTGTTATTAATATTAATAGCTAGCATTTATTGATCACCTTATCTCATTTCATCCTCATAACAGCACTAGGAGGTAGGTTCTATGAGGTAATAGCTCGTAGAGGTATTGTTCCCATTTTACAGATGAGGCGATTGAGACAATCAGCAGTTAAATAACATGTTCATAGTAGCACAACTAGTAAATGAATGAGACAGGATCTGAACTCAGCCTTCCTGACTCCAGCCCAGAACTCTATCCCCTGTACTCCTTAGCTGTCAGAGTTCTATCGATAAAGACATAGATCTCTCTGTCTATTTCTCCACCCATCTATCTCTCTGTTTCTCTCTATCTAGCTACTCATCTCTCTGTCTTATTCAGACTGAGATGGGAGTGAGAAGCTCCCAGTCAAAACTCTCTCTCAGGCAACCTGGCAACTTCTCTACAACTTATACTTGTAGGAGGTGCCTCCATCCTTGAGAGGTTAAGTACTTTACTCAGTATTACATGGCCAGCATGAATCAGAAATAGGACTGCATACTGGGTTTCTTGACTCTTGGGCCAATAGATTAATCAATAAACATTAAGTGCCTACTATGTGTTATGTGCTCTGCTACTTGCTGAAGGTAGAAAAATATGCAAAACACAGTCCCTGCCCTCAAGAGGCTTACCATCTAATGGAGAGGCATCGAGGAAATAAATTTCCAAAAAACTAGCACCTTTCTGTCCATTATTCCATGTTGCATCATCTAAATCGCACACACACATTTATATCATTGATAACTACATCTGTATCATCTATCTATGTCATCTATATCATCAATGTCTGTATCTAGCTCTACTGGGAGGAGAAATGAGTACAGTGTGAAAAGAGGGAGGACTGAGGATCCCTTAGCCTATTTTGGGAAAGATGCACCATAGACCACCACTTGTTTCCAACATCCAACAATTACACTGTCCCCTATGCCTCATCTGTGTAACCAATCAAGATTCCTCATTTAGCTTAAACTGAGACAGCTGTTCACAAGCTTTCCTAACAGGTACTTTCCCTAATAAACTATTATCTTTCTCAGAAAAAATGTGCCTAAGTCTACATTTCTCAAATTTCACTCATGAGAGATGTTAAGTATTTGTTTAGGAACACAGCCAGCATGGGTTAGAAACAGGACTTGATCATGGGTTTCTCTTCTCTGAGGTCATCTCTCTGTCCATTATTCCATGTTGCCTCATTTTGATCATATGTATTAATAAGATTGACATCTATATGATTGACATATATATAATCTATATCTATATCATCTTTATCATCCATATGACCCATATCTCTACCTATCTATACTGGGAGAGGAAATGAGCACACAGAGAGAAGAGTGAGGATTACAGACCACTTATCTTATTTTTTGGAAAGACGGGCCTGAGCCTAGCTGTGATACTTGGGGAAAGAATGTCAGCCTTGGAGGTTGGCCTGGCTAAGTTTTAGTTATACCATTTACTAGCTGTGGGATTTTGTTCAGACTACTAAACCTCTGTGAGTTAGCAAAATGAGATAAGCAGCTGCCTACAATTCATATAAGCCTACTCTTGGAATTGAGTGCATGACACAGAAGGGCAGACAGAGTTTATAAGCATTGTGAGGATAGGGCCCAAGATACCATTGAGCTGAACCTAGGAACTGAACCTGATACCATTGAGACTATCCCCTCTTCTCTTCAGTGACAAAGGCTGACCAGAGAGCCCCTAACTAGTTGTAAAAAATATATGTGTTCTCTTGGTCCTAAAAGCAATGGACAGTGCCTTGGACATTCATAACGTCAAGAGATCTCCTGGGGCAGAAAATAGAGTCAGAGACAACTAGCAGAGACGGCCTGTGAATGGGTGTGGCCCTGGTACCTACAGTCCTAGGAATTCCCTCTATGCCTGGTGAGGGGTAAACTCCAACCCACACTGGTACACACATTAGCCTCATTCAGTCAATAAGGCCCTTTTTCTCCCAGGAGCAGGAAACAATAAGTTCCTAATGAGGGGATGGGTAGGTGGGTGAAAGCATTCATCTTGTCTCTTGGCCTGGCCAATGTGGCCAGGGCTGGAGAAAAACAAATCTAGTCTACATCATTGCTAAATAGAACTGGAGCAATGCCTTCTCAACAGGGACTTGGGCTCCCAACAAGGCAAAGATGTCAAGTGGACTTGAAATGTCAGCATGTTCCCTGTTTGGATTTTCCCACTCTTTTTCCCAGGGGGGTTTGCTACCTCCATTCTGGTTTGGCTGTGAAGACAACATTTGTGGTTGACAAGACTTTTGGTTTTTAATTTATTTTATTTTTAATTTATGGAATAAAACCAACATTTCCATAGCACAGTATAAGAAAAAAATAATCGCACATAAAACTGCAAATCTACTATACACAACTTTTAAATATACAACACAGAGTTATTGTGCAATTTTTTTTCCTTTTTCTTCCTTCCCACTACCTTACATTAGAGATGGCTATCATTAGATATGTATTAGATATGTAGACATATATATGTAAAATTATCCTATATATACTTCTATTTATCAGTCCTTTTTCTGGATACAGATAGTGTCATTCTTCCTAAGTTCTTTATGGTTAATTTGAGTATTTATAATAGTCAAAATAAAGTATTCATTCAAAGTTGTGAAAAAAGTGGACCTTTGGAACAAGAAAGAGGAAGCCCTGGGAGATGTGAACCTGCTCAGAGAGTAGGGGCTGCTCTGCCCTGGGGAGCAGAGAGGAAGCAGCTGCTGCTCTGAGCTGAATCCCCTGAACAGCCTGGGGAGGTTTTTGTTCGGGGCTGAAGCACTGCGGGAAAGGGAAACTCTTAGACTGCTGACAGGAATAATCTCCAGCATCTTCAGGCTCCAGGCTGCTGATGATGAGAGTGAAATCTGTCCCAGATCCACCGCCCCTGAACCGGGCAGGCACTCCAGAAGCCAGCCTGTTAGCCCAGTAGATGAGAAGCCTGGGAACTTGACCAGGCTTCTTCTGGTACCAATGTAAGAGGTGATAACCATCACTATCTGTTAGACTCTCACTGGCCTTGCAGCTGATGGTGACTGTCTCTCTTGGAGATCTGGACAAGGAGCCTGGAGACTGGGTCAGCACAATGGCTCCTTGGGAATCTAGAACAACAACATTAGAGGAAGACAGGAGTGTGTGGATGTCTAATTTAAAGAATATGAATGAGACAATTTTGTGGAGACCACTGAAGTCTCAAATGACTGACAAGGAGTTGTATTTGGTGTCAACGTGAGACAAAAACCATATTTTCCATTGACCTCACAATACCTGTAATCTGGGGCCAGGTCATGCTAGTCTGCCCCTGTCTCCCTATGCTATGCTTAAGGTGTCATCAGGTTTTTAATCCCTTGAAACCTGTGATCCTCTAAACCCCTTCACTGCTCTACTGTGTCTTACCCTGAGCCCAGAGCACCAGTAGCCAGAGGAGCTGCCATGGGGAAACCATCCTGGCCTTTAGATTCCTGCAGAGAGAGCACTCAGAGCCCTGAGAGGGCAGGAAGGAAGGAGGAAGCTTTTATATCCTGAGCAGGACTCACTACAGGTCCCTTGGGTCTCTACATGCAAAAGAGCCCCAGGTCTGGTATAAGCCTCACCTCAGGGACCCTGTAAGTCACACTGAGTCACACTGGCTGAGGCTGGCTCTGGGGGAGGAGTCTCACTCTTTTCTGTCCTCAAATGTGTGACCTCAAGAGCAAAGGCAAGATCATGGTTAGTGACCGATGTAGGAATGGTTGCAGCTGGTGGTGGACAAATGGAGGGAGGCTTCTCTCTGGGCCCCAGGGCTAGATTCCCCATAATTATGAGAGAGCTCTAAGCCCTGGGGAGGTGGCAGAGATGGCAGGAGCTCACACCTTGTAGGATTTGGAGGAGCCTCACCTGGCTCTGTTCATGGACCTGCCCCACTACCTCCCTCTGCTGGAGAAGGTGTGAATTCAAGGAGGCAATGAGGAGAGTTTGGCTCAAACTGGACAGATCCTAGCCTAGGCCCCTGGGAAAAGCCTGGGAGAGCCTTATTCTTATATGAATGAGTTTTGTTAGTCACTAAATGAGATTACTGTATTTGTTCTGAGCATTGTGGAGGAAACAGTTATGTCTGCCCTTAGCCCAATCCAGACATGCACTAAAGGTGAGGATCAGTATCTTGGCTGTGACTGTTTCTAGAAATGTGGATGTAGGTAAATTGGTGCTCAATGGAGACTGTGAAGGTGAGGGTACCTAACTCAGAAACACAGACAAGGAGACTAGAGAGAGTCATTCACTTCTGGCTAATCACTTCTGTCCAGGGGGATTGCAAGGGACCCCTGTTGATTCCATGTGCCTCCAGCCTCTCCTCTCCTTAGTCAATCAACCACAAACGAAGAGATGAAAAAGCACTTCTGTCTTGCCTGCTTTCAAAAAATTTGAAATTAAATCAGAATTCAATTTAATTTAAATTTTAAAAATATTTTAAAATAATATCATTCTTTTTTTAAATTTTGAGTTGGAAATTCTCTCCCTCTCTCTTCTCCCCTCTCACTGAAAAGGTAAGCAATTTGATGTAGGTTTTTTGCAGTACCTGCTCTTTGTCAAATACCCCTACCTACACAATAATCACTTTCTTGTTACCTTGGGGAGGAAATGGGTTGCAGGGGCTCACCCTCTCCTGCTGAGCTGGACCTATCCAAATTGCTTTAAAATTACCTATAAAAGCTGGCCACTCCTTGAAGCCATTGCTAATCTTCAATGGTCAGCCCCTCAACACATGGCTACTTTGAAAACCTTAAAATAATTCCTTTTAATTCTCTTTCTTCTATGTTTTGCCTCGTTAATCAAGGTGAAAGCCCAAATGAAGAATTTTCCTTTCAACAGAGAGAAAAGGGAGGGCTGATGATCTCTTAGCTTATTTTTGGAAAGACAGGCCTGAGCCCACCAAGGATATTTGGGGAAAGTGTCCATTCTACTAACTAATTAGCCTTGTGACTTTGATCAGACAATTAAACATCTCTGAGTTGGCAAAATGATGAAAAAAATCCACGTGGAATCAAGGAATCTCTGAGTTGGAAGGACTTGTTGAAAGTATCAGAAATAACCTTCTCCCTAAAGCATGAATGAACCCACAGTACTTCTGTGGATCAGAAACACTGAAATACAAAAAAGCATTATTATCCTAGGCATCATATCAACAGATACTATTCTAATTTTCCCTCTTCCATCTTAGTGCCAAATTGATATTCATTAAATTTGATCATGTCACTCCCTTTCTCAAATTCTCTATTGGCTTCCTTTTGATGTCAGGATGAAACAGAAAATCCTCAGCCTGGCATTTAACATTCTCCACAACAAGGCTCCCTCCAACCTTCCCAGGCTAATGCCATGTTAACCAGCTTTGTGTCTTGTCTGTTCTAGTAAAGCCAGCATGCCAGCTCTTCCTGCACACAGCCTTCCGTCACTCATAGCCAGGCCTTTGCATAGGTGGCCCCCTCAGATGGCCATGCAAGCCTTCCCCACCACTACCAGGCAGAATCTCCAGCTTCCTTTGAAGCCCAGCTCAGGTTCCATCCCATTGGTGAGGCTACTCCTCCCATATATGTCTCCTTTCCCTCTTGAAATTACACTGTGGATACCAGTTACCTTCTCCTCAACTGAATGTTAAATTCCACAAGGCCAGGAACTATTTGGCTATGGTCTTTGAATCCATACCTTTTTGCACTTAATATATGATTAAAGTATTTTTTATTTAATATGTTTTTAACTTATGACTAAACCTCCTGATGGGATAGGGATCCTGCCTTTTGGTGAGTGGTAGACCAGGAGCCAGAGTACTGGAGGCCTGGGCCATGAGCTAAGGGCTGATGGGTCAGGGGAGACAGATCTGCCTGAGGAGGGTTAGGAGGACAGTGATCCAGGAAAGCCCAGGGTTCAAGGAGCTTCACTGATATCATGTGACCAGAGCCAGAGCAGAGCCAATCTCCAAGCCCTCCAGGGGAGGAGGATTGAGTGTGGCCAGCAGATTCAGGAAACTGCAGTCTGGACCTGAATACTTGTTTGTTCATCTTTAATCTGCCTTCTCTGAAGCTGGTTCCATTCTCCCTTACTCTGGCTGGATTCTTAGTCTGAGGGTTTTATCCATAAATTCTCAAGCTAGAGTGACCCTCCTTCTATATATTTGGAACACAACTTTAAAAAAAGAAATAGAACTAGTGTATGCTTCAGGGGGAGTATTCCCAAGCAGCTAGAGGTAGCGTTAGTTATCAGGAAATCAGGGGTCCATGATCTGAGGAAAAATTATTGGAATTTACAGGGTCAAAGGAGAGAATAGAATGAACAGAAGGTGGGATAGGATGGAGGAAAATACAATTAGTCTTTCACAACATGACTATTATGGAAGTGTTTTGCATGACCACACATGTATGACCTATATCGAATTGCTTATCTTCTCAATGAAGGTGGGTGAGGAGGTAGGAAGGAACTCAAAGTTTTAAAAATGAAAGTTAAAATTGGTTTTACATGCAACTGGGAAATAAGATACACAGGCAAAGGGGTATAGAAATCTGTCTTACCCTACAGGAAAATAGAAGGGGAAGAGGATAAGAGAAGGGAGAGTGATAGAAAGGAGGGCAGATTGGGGGAAAGGGTAATTAGAATGCACACTGTCATGGGGTAGGGGAAGGGAAGAGATGGGGAGAAACTTTGAAACTCAAAATCTTGTGGAAGTAAATATTGAAAACTAAAAATAAATAAATAAATTGAAAAAAAATTATTGTAACTTAGAAGGAGCTTTGAGGGCCACCACCCATCAAGGATCTGTGGCCATCAGGGATTGTGATAGCTTCAAGGCTCTTTCAGGGCTCAGGCTGGGAGTCTGAGGCCGTCCCTGGGTCCGAGGTCTCCCAGAACCTGACAATGCCATTGCCAAGCAATGATGGAATTCATCAAGTTTAGTCCAGTTTAGTTGATTTGATAAAATGGAGTCTCAGGCCATCTTACCTAGTGCTTAGTACATAGCAACTGCTCAATGAGTGCTTTTGAATTGAATTGAACTAATTGGAATCTTGCTGTAATCATGTCTTTTATAACAGATGTCCTCACCCAAGAAAACAAAGTCCAACTCTCATCCATTGCCACCTTGATTCCGGTTATTGCTGAACACACCAAAACTCGATAGCAACTAAAGGTTGTGAGCTGTCTAAGGAGCCTTTAGAGTAGGATTCGCTCTTAGGTCATGCAGCACTTAATCACTGAATGAATGCTGCCTCAAAAAAACTAACATCAGAGAAAGACCTTAACTTAAAAAGGCCAAGTCCTCCCATTGTATCTAGGGCCCTCTCCAGTCGTCCTGATCTATGTCTTGCCACTGGACCCAGATGGCTCTGGAGGAAAAGTGGGGTTGGTGACTTTGCACAGTCCTGCCTCACTTAAATCCAATTCACTTGTAAGTCAAGAGATCAGCTTTCTGATGTCATTGGTCTTCTTTGATATATAAGGACAAACAACAATCTGGGAGTAGCTGCCCCACTGGAGTCCCATCTGGGAAGTTCCAGTTCAAGTTGGGCAATGCTTTTCCTTTTTTCCTTTCCTTCCTTCCTTCCTTCCTTCCTTCCTTCCTTCCTTCCTTCCTTCCTTCCTTC